TCCCACACCAGCGGTAAGGCATGATTTGATCTGATGCTGGATCCCACAGTTACCTCCTGCCATCCACATGTGGCCTGTCAGGAGCATCGGATCTTATCATGCCTTTACCTGAACATCTAGGGGGGCCCTAACAGTGCATTGTGTGGCACCCTGTGGTCCTCTTGAAAGGATCTCAAGGCACCCCATGATGCTGTGGCACTCTTAAGAATCTGTGCCCTATATGATGGAATGGCAATTTCTGATTTGCTTTTGTGTGGGCAGATTTGTTGTTTTAAATAGATGATTTTTCATCTTCTTTTTCATTTGTATTCTTAGAGAAACTAGTTGGTTGGTGACCATTAATGTTGGTACAAGGCTAAAAATAAATGCATCTTTTATACTTGTATGCTATTTTTCCCCAACTAGGCAAGTACTCTATATAAGCATACTTGTGCAGCACACTAAGGCGTACTTACATTTCTTAATTTTTATATTGTCATGTTTTAAATGGTTATGGCATGCTGCTGCTTTTAGATTATTTTTAACATGTAATTTGAGCTTTATTTGGATGGAGATTTGGGGTTCAATTTAACAATGCAGAACCTACATTTTAAAATTGATTTGATCTGTTGTTTTCAAATGCAACGTTTTTAAAATACATCTATCCAGAACACTTTCAAAATGTATTTTTTTTTTTTTTTATTAAAACACACTAAGCATTAACTATATCTAGTGAGTTGAACTGATTTTGATTTATTTGTTGTTATGTCTGTCAAGATTTCAGAACAGTGATTCCCTACCAGGGTGCTGTGGGACCTTGAGTGCCTCAATATCCTTTCAAGGGTGCCACACAGTGTTAGTACTGTCAGGTGTGCTAACATGATTTGCAAGGTGAACCAAAAGATTTAAATTAAGAATCTATAGTGTTAAAAACAAAGACCACACAACAGGGCAGAATGAGTTCTTTGCAACAGAAGAATTGCTCTATTATTTTTCTGTAGCCACATGGAGTAAAACTAAGAGCTGGAGTTTGAGGGGTACCTTGAGGCTGTCAAGGGGTGCCTTGAATCTAAAAAGGTTGAGAACCATTGTTTTAGAACTGCTAGATCTCGTCCACTAGCATCTAGTTTGAGTTCATAGATTGCAAGAGGAACATAAGGTTTTTGACTCTGCCCACTCCTAACACACAGTTTGGTTTCTTAAATTAGAATGAACTTTTCATTAAGCTGAAAGGAAAAAGTTTCTAAACTCTAACCAGATAATTAGTCAGACTTCCTCCAGTTCAGTTACTTTTTTTTTCTTTTAACTTTGGCAGCAAGCATATAGGTTAGCATTCATCTGAAGTGCTTCAGCAGGTTAAGACCTTACTGTAATCTGTTATAATTTCAGATTTAATTGTGAATAGGTTTGCTTAATAAAGATTAAAACACTTGGTCTTTAATTGCACATTACTTCCCTCTCCTTTTCCTGTTCACTTTATGCCACATTAGCATTGCAGCAGGAACTCGAGGGACTGGAATATCTGGTCTGAGTATATCGGTATAATGCTGTCACTTGACAGGAGGAGCCAGTCTGTCTATGCCTGCAAGTGGAAGGAGCTTATCCGTGCAATGTGCCACTGGCATTGAACAATAGTGCATTTAATGCTTCTCCCTGGTGTTGGCAACACCTGGGCAACTGGACCTAAGTAGAAACATTTTTTTTTTTTTCTTTTTGAACTGAACATTACTTATAATTTATGTTGCCTTAGTGCCCATGAACCGTAACTGACAAGAAAGTAGAGCTCTGCATCAGGCAACTATAAGGCCGTTGTTACCTGACTTGAGATTTGCATCTATTAATGCACGTTCTTCTGTTTATTTTAAATATACTTTTTCAAATTTGACTGAAGAGGGTATACAAAACAGGTTGAACTGTTTTGCGGCTACCTCTGTATGCTCAATGATCCCACCCCCAAACAGGAAAAGTGCATGCATTTCCTTTCCTTTTCTACTTCAAATTTTAAAAAACCCAGAACTTCATTTTCCATCTCTTCCGGCTTTTTTTTCCTCCCTATAATCTCCTCTTTGTTTTTTTTAAGGAGAGAGAGAAAGAGAATGCCCAGAGCAGTTATTAGAACAGGTATTAGTTAATTTTCACACTTGGGGCAGATAAACTTGAAATGAGGGAAGCAGGTATTAATTTTCTCTTCAAGTATTTTTACATACACTTCAGCCTGGCATAGAAAGAGCCGATTCTATTGTCCCTAATTCCTTACAAGTCAGACCATGCTTTTACCCTTAAACTGTAAAATCTATTAAATCTTCATGAAGTAATAGTAGCTGTTATACTTGTCCTTGTCAAATCTAAGTAGTTTTCTTACCATCTTATTCTGGATTATTTTTTAAGCAAAAATATTCAAATGTGGAAAACTCACAATTAGAGTAAGCAGGTTTACTCTATACAATGTTTTTTAGTTTCATAAGTTATTTCGCAGAAGAGTCAGGCACAAAAAGTGTTTGTGGTTTTTATTGCCTCTCACTTCCTGTGCGTTAAAGGTATGTTAGCAATTGCTCTGCCTGGAATTTTGTTGAAGGAACACTCTAAAGTTTCCAAGGGGGGGAGAAGAGGGGGGCAAAGCATGCGTAACAACATGTGGGAACTACGGGAAACTGATTTAAAATGCCACTAACGTGCATGTGTGGGTAGTTGTTTTTTTTTTGTTTTTGTGGGGTTTTTTGGGTTTTTACATAAATGCAAATCTGTGTATAATAAAGATGGTACATGGGTAACTCTAAGGGACTCTTGTGTTTTAAATTCCTTACAGTCTATATGTAGCTTCTCTTGGCCTCATTCTTTCAAGTTTCAAAAAATATAGATGTAAAGTTTTTTTTTCTTAAATAAATGGTTCAGTGAATCATCTTTTTGCTCAGTAGTAACAAAAATAGAGACAAAGAAATAGCAACATGTAGTTCAGAGCAGTTTGTCAATAACATGCTAGTTAGTATTAACAGATAGAAAAATTCAACAGGGAAGCTAACTTCAAGTTTCCTGGTGGGCTCCTATAAATGGCAAAGTTGGAAGTAGGAAGGGGAGTCTGAACTGGAAAAATCTTGACATTCTTTTTTTAGTAGATATAAAACCATAAATAGTTCTCCTTGCCCTTTTTTCTGTCTAGCTTTCTTTTTCTTTTTTGTTTGAACTACCTAGCATATCTGGCTTCCAAATATGCCTCAATGTTGCTTCAAGTGGGAATTTGCTAAAGAAGCAGACTAGGGAAAAAGTGTCTAATTGTTTCAAGTTTCTTGGTATAAACTATTGTATAATATCTTTCTTGAAATAAAGTCAAAGTAGCAGGAACCATTCAGGGAATTAAATATATGGTTTTTGAAGTCTTTTGACTGTTGAGAAATTACGTTAGTTTTGCCTTTTTAATTGCAACTATTCATTTGGAATTGCCAAAATGATCATTGCCCATTTCTAAAAATGTCTCCCGTTACTCCTTTTTCTACAATTTCAGTATTAACATCTTAATCCTTGTTGGCTGACGTGATTTTTATGCATACACACATGCCCTCAGAAAGATTTTTCTAATTATACTATCTAAATACATAACACAGATCAGTTCATTATTATAGAATCTTTTTAATTTTCCTGTTGAGCAGCATATTGTCCCAATTAAACAGGAATCCCCATTAAGACAGAACTCCTTTTTTTAAGGCAAGGAGCAAGCATGGGGGTCAAAACTGAAACAACATTATATTGACCGATGTTCATGATTCTTTGTTACTTTCATAGTTTCTTTTGAAGTTCTAAATGCCAGCCTTAATCTTGAATGATCACTTGGTTAAATACCAATTACCCCCTTGGCACTCCCTGCTTGTGCCTTCATTAAAAGGAATTTTTGCTAATGCTGTGTTGATTTAAGTAGAGCTCTCTTTAGTAATGGTTAGTAAGCTGAATCTGATTCCTGGGAGGCTTTCCAGTAATGTGCATCTGATCAAGTCTGCTGTTGTATACTGTGTGTTGAAATGCTTTGTTGTAAAATTGTAATTCTTGTTTTTGTAATTGCAGGTGAAGGACTTAACGAAGTATCTTGACCCCAGTGGACTTGGAGTAATCAGCTTTGAAGACTTCTATAGAGGGATTACAGCTATTAGAAATGGAGGTTAGTTTGTTTGCTATTATATTATAAGCAAAAGGAGAGGCATCAAATTAAAAAAAAAACCATAGAACAACTACTTGGTAAAAATACTTTCTTGGTTTTGTGATTTCAGCTAGTGAATTTATAAACATAGTGCATGGGTCAGCAAGTTATGGCACATGGGCTGGATCCAGTTATGGAACTGGCTTCAGCAGTATTTGGGTGCACAGGCTCCAGTGGAGGGCAGGCTCTCCCTATGCCATACTGCAGCTTTGGTGGCAGGGAGAAGAGGCAGAGGTGGCTGGGTCCTGGTGCTTGCCTAAGCTGGCTTGTTCTGCCCCTACCCCACAAAAGGTGGTCAACTCCTGGAATAATTCATTACAACTTGAATTGAATTATGTGAAGACCAAAAACAAAGGAAACTGGTTTTAGTTGCATTTAAAAGACAAATATTGCTCTAACACCAGCATTAACTGCATTAGGCTTCTTGGTAAATAGTTATTTGGGCGCCTATACACATGCAGAGAGGCTGCTCTGATGTGTTGCAGTTGCACTGAGTTGGAGCAGACTTGATTCATCAAGTCTGCTGGAGCGTGGTAACTGCTGTGCTCCAGCAGAGTCCAGTGTCACATGTATCAGCACATCCCCCTGCTGAAAAATGGCAGCAGGGGTGCTTTAACTAAGGCTCATTCAAGCTTTGGTTAAAGCGCTCTCGCTGCCACGTTTTCAACACAGGGTTGCTGATGCATGTGATACTCCGGGCGCTTTTAATTACAGCTCTCCAAGCCTCTCTCTAATTAAAGCTGCCCCCCCTCCCCCCAGCACATCTATAAACACCTTTAGTTTCCAGACTTAATATTGTTTGTTTTTAGTAGTTGAATCTTGTACATTTTTAGTAAGGAGCTGGTTGATAGGAGTACAAAGTCCAGAGACTTAAACCTTCATGAAAGCGCAGTTAAGTCAAATTTCTGGATTAGGATGCAGAACTTCTAAATTGCTAAATGTGCTAATCTTTGCTGTTCATAGCGTGCAGAAGTGATGTCTAACAAGGAGCTTACACAATAAGATTTTTGTGTTAGTTTGCTGCTTATGACATCTGAGATTATTTTCTATGTTTAGTTTAACTTTTTTTATGATAAGCTTTTAAGAGCATGTCATGTTTGTCAGTGAAGTGCCACATGTGCCTGTGGTGCAGTACAGTCTTAACGATTCTGCTACAAAGATGACCTGTATGCTCCAACCAGGAGGACTTATTCAGAAAGAATTCCAAGAAGTGTTTTTATGCAAATGATGCCCTTGAATGGTTCTCACTGGGTTTTAATTGTTTGAACATTTTTAGTGTAGGCTATAGGTCTTAATAAGCAAAGTTCAAAGTGGACCTTGCCATCAGGCTTAGTTGTTGGAGAAATTTTATACAACTCTAAAGCAAAAATAATGATTCCTAGGTCAAGATGCCAGTGCTGCTTGCTTGAGGTTTCTTTTATGTATTCTTGGTGACCTATACTAGTAGTGTAGACTTTTAATATATATTTAGAGCATCAGATTAATGAAGTGTGTGAAAACTCTGAAACTTCTTTAGGAATGGTTGGGTGCTTGGAGTATACTTAAATCTTTGAAAGAGGGAATGACTTATGTTCTTTGCAGGTTGCTTTTTAGCTTTGTAATTATTCACCATCAGCTTAAATAATAATTGACTTAAGTGATTAGAATATAAATATTTGCATATAATTTATTTAGCAGTTTACATATTATATACCTTGAAGATCTGTTGGGATGAAGATCTACAATAGGAGCTGAGTTTAGAAGAGGGAGCAGTCAATTTAGAGAACCATTAATCTGTGATAAATTGCTATCTGAGAAGAGGTGGCTTAAGTTTCTCTTCAATAATTCATTGCCATAGTGTTTGGTATTAATTGGATAGAAGTAATGGACCTAGTCTTAACATCTAACTCTAGGCTTCATGTTTTGCAACAACAGAAAACTTTTTATTTGCTCAAAAAGTACACCGCAAAATGTTCTTGAGTTTTTGAATAAGGAGAGGCATAAAAAGAAAAGCAAAGTAAGGTGGGAAGCATTTCTTAACAGCTCTGAAGTTGAACAGTTTTGCTTGCAATGTTCTTGGACTTGATGATCTTCAAAGGTGGGGAATATTGATTATAGTTGTGCAATTTTTTTTTTAATAATAATTAAAAAAAAAAAAAAAGGTGGGGGGAGAAACCATTCTTGTAAAGCAAGGAAATGGGTGATCTTGCTGCTGGGGTGTCCTTTTTTTTCAAAACCACTTGTTAAATGTATTCTGTGTTTAAGGCAAGCTGTCAAGTGCAGGTTGGAAAGGGGAAAACAGCTTTCTGTTTAAAGTTTACCAAGTCTGCAAAAGCAGGTCAGTTGCACAGAAGCATCTTTTACTTCTGACTTTCTTTTGGTCTAGTTCAATAAATATCTTGTGTCTTAGGTTTGTTCGTCTCTGCCTAAACACCTACTCTATCCCAGGTAGTATAATTGCACTTTGACTTCTATTCATTTAGTTCAGAAAAGAGAGAATGAATATAATGAGACATCCTTACTGTGTGTTGCAGCACAGTGTAGAGATACCAGAGCTAGCTGTTACGAGCTTGCTTGTATCCCAGGAGCACTCTAGGCATGGCAATACAGAGCACTTCTCAGCAGGGTCAGTTAGCTGGCAGGGAGCTTCCATGCCACTGTGGTCAGACCGCCTTCAATATCCAAACTAACCCCGGCATCCCAACTTCACTGCAGTATGCTACATAGACTTGCTCCTGACATGAGAAGAGAAATGTGAAAGGACTAGAAAAAAGCGGAAAAGTCAGTGATTGTAACCTAGGCTGCTGGGACAAGATCCTTTAGAAGGATGCCATGAGGTATGAGGAGATGAGCACAGACTTAGGCTTCCTCCTTCCTGGCCATTTCCCTTCTAACCCTTCTGCAAGGAGGTAAACACTGTAATAGACTAGTTCATTTTCGAAATGGCATGCTGCTCAATGCACACAAGTTACAGCAGGGGTCTTGAGTCTAGCCAGGTGGGGAACCGCTGCTCTAAATCCTTCTGGGATACAGCCATGATTATCTTGTTTCATCATCAGTTCTGAGGTGCATGTCCCCAATCCACCTGCAGCTTGAGTGAGAGGATTCAAATGAGTTGAGAGGATGTTGGTGTCCTGCTGGACACCAAGGTTGATATTTTCCCTAGTGAATTCTTCTCCATTCTACAGCTTAAGTGTTTTACACTCATGGCACTAAAAATGAAACTGCTGCGAGGACACACAAAAGTGCAGATTTCCAGTGAAGTGGTTAACAGTATTGATTGTTTTGAAGTCATGTAGTTGTGATGATTCAAGAAATACACAACAGGCAAGGATCTCTGTGAGTGATCTTTTATTGGACCAACTGCATGGCTGGAGTACATTTAGACAAGCTTTCAAATGAAATTAATTGTTCACCAGGTCTTTGCCTTAACAATATTAACGCATTGCTGTGAATGCCCCTTGGAGAAGCTTACAAGATTTGTGCTGTTTTTCAGGTTCTCTGCAAACTTGGACTGAACTTACTGAATTAATTTGCATTGTTTTCACAATGGAAAACACAATGACAGCCTTTAAAAACTGCCTGATTTGACAGCTCCCCTCCTTTCCCCTTCCCAACCCCAAGGCTCATCTATCAAGGGTTGATATCTAGTCCTCATTTTTTTTTCTACTTTTTTTTTTTTTTTTTTTAAGTATACCCCCAAAGTCTGCAACCCTGTTCAGGAACCCCTTTTTTTTCCAAGTGTCCACTGGTCACAGAACCCAAGAGGGCGTTCTTATTTCCATTGTTTTCACCAGTTAGGCATCACTTCAAGAACCTGAATTGTATATGTTGCCAAAAGATTTTAGTTAGTAATCTAAGACCAATCATTGGGCCATAGAAATAACCCCATTTCCCTTTAGGGCTCAGCCTCTTTCTCTCCCTTTCTTTTGATCTACTATTATGAGTCACTAGCCAGTTGCCTGTCAAGAATGACTGGGGGTGAGGGAGGGGGCTGGGATGGAGTGCTACCACTTAACGCCCCATGCTGTTGCTGTTCTGCCTCTTGCAGGAAGCAGGGTGGGGGAGCAGATGCTAGTGCTACTGGCCTCTGCTCCCCCGCCCTCTGTCCGGTCCTCGGTGGGGCTTTGGAATCATGGTGGTGCTCCCCCATGCTTGGAGCACTCTGATTGATTGATTGATTGGCTGATGGAAACAGCCAGTCGGAGTGAGAATAAAGTGTGACGGACAGACAGGCAGACTTAGGCTTTTACAATATTAGAACTGGAACATTACTACACTTAACCATTTCAATTTTGGTAGACTTTACCCTCTTAAAAACAACAGTTAGAACTAGGCAGGGTACATCAGTGCTGTATCACTTTTGACTTGAAGGACTTTTAAATAACTGGATTTCTCTTTTCTTTTCTTTTTTTAATGACTTGACTTATGTACTTTTATCCTTTCCTCCTTGGCTTTCTCTAGTTTTGATGTTCTTGAATAGTGTAAAGCATGTTGTCAAAATCTCTCTGGGTTTCAGTACAAGGAGGTCTTGCTAGTGAGAATCATGTTTATTTTTAACAGTAGATGGTACTGGGAGTAGCCTGTGTCCCTCCTTCTCTAGATTAGGAAAAAGGAGAAATTCGCGCGGGGGGGGTTGCTTTTTAAATAAGTGAGCATCTTTTAGATCAGGCAAGATTATTTGGGTAGGGCTTTTTCATTCTTTTTCCTCCTCTCCCCTCTTCCTATCCCCCTTGTCTAGGAGAGACTTGCAGAGGGATGATCTACAAGTGCTTCACTGTTTACCAGGCTGTTTATGTTGACTGACTAGCTAGCTAAGCCAGAGTGTGGTCACAACACCAGCAAAATCTTTGTAGTTACCTGATCTCCTAATACTGTTGTAGAGGTCATTTACCCTACCCTGTTGGTCATCAGAGGAAGCTGAACTACTTACTTCTATAATTTTTATATCGATTGATCCAAGTTGTTAGACACTAGGAAAA